TTTCCTCTTTAATGCTCTCCATACCTTCAAGCCAAAGTTTTTTTAATTTTAAGAAGTAAAATAGTGTAGAGTATTAATAGATGAATAGTGTATCAAGTGTTATATGTATGTATCCATCTATAATTTCCAGTATTGCCTATATCATTAATAGTAACGTCCTGAATGTCCATTTAGTGGTAATTGTAGCTCTTCAGGGTATTTAGAGATTGGTTTATTTAAGATCAAGACAATATCATCAGAGAATCTTAGATTGTTGAGATATTTCAATTATAATATAATTAATCAGACTTATATTTTAATTATACCCATCTTGTATGATTTAAAAAAATCGAAAAATTAACGGCCTCAGTGGTCAAGGCAATCAAACAATTGACAATGATGTATAATATAAGTAATAATAAGATTTAATTTTTGAAGGTTTTAGTTAAAATGTTTGAATACACCTGGAAAATGGGCTAAAAACTTAGCGACAATGAATTCCGATTTTTTTTATCAATCTAGATGTTTCTTATTATTATTTACTTAAGCTTCATTCAGAACCTCGTAATTAGTGGAATACAAATTAGTCGTTTCAATTACATTTTATACTTTTTAGTTTATGATCATTCACAATGTTGAAGAAACACAATTAAAATTAATAGAATATCCTAGCAACAGCTTACGTTAGTCAGTTGTATTCATAGAGATTTAGCTTATAAAACAATCAACTTTTGAGTTCTAACCACAATTTCTCTTGACTAAAGATAATCAAAGGCGAAAATGACATTTATAGCAAATTTTGAAGTATAATTAGTGGAAAAGTTAAAAGTTTGATAAGTTTTTCTACTAATTGAAAATGTCTACCACTAATTTTGACGTGACTCTGAATGCTTTGAAATTGAAAGAACAAACTTCTACGCTAATTGAAACCACTAATTTATTCCACTTAATTTGGAGGTTCTGAATGAAGCTTTAAGGAGACAATTACTATTTTTAATTAGATGATGAGAGATAATAATAGATAATAAATAAAAATGATAAATAATAATAGTGATTTCTCGTTAGTAACAAAAAAAGAAAATTATTTTTATGTATTAATTCATGGGATATCCTAAAGCACAACGCACAGTCAGCGTTTCAAAGGACGTGATTTATAAATATCTGAGAGATTATCGACCAATGGCAAACAAAAGCTCCGAAGTACCGTGGCGAAAGTTTAAATTGTGCGGCGCGAATCGTACGCAAAAGGAGACTGAAAAGGGGAGACGAGCGATGTGTGCGGAACAAGTCCTTTCAATGATCTAATGTTCTTAATGTGAAACTTAAACCACAAAGGAAATGATATTTATAACCATTGAAACATTAGTTAATTTGGTTAACGATTTCTTTAAGAAATACTGCTAATTTGAAAACAGTCTATCTCTGTCGTAATGGTGGGTCATTTCATCTCTGGTTATGTAATTTTACATTGCAGTTTTATTCATCTTTCCATTACTAGAATGCTTAGGTAACTCTAATTAGAATAAATTGAATTAGGTAAGTATTAGGTTTATTTCAATGCGACTATGCGACGTTTTCAGACCTATTGTATAGAGATGAGCAACAAATCGCAAACTGCGCATTCAAGATTTGCAAATTCAATCGCAGCAATTTTAAAATCACAATTGCAACCTGCCATTGGCTCTCATAGGAAACTGTGACTGCGATTTCTCCAATTTGCTAGTTTCAATTTAGGCAAGCAATATTGGACAGTGATAACCTTTTATCTGCGAGTTTGCATTTTTAGAGTTGCGATTTGCGATTTTGTTGCGAATATAATTTTGTGGTCCATTGAAGTATTTTATAGTAAACTGCGATTGAATTTTTTCTCTATTTATTTATAGAGAAGGTATTATTTTCTAGGGCCAAGATCAATAATATACCGGGTGTTTCTCAAGAGTGGTTCGCACCTATAACTTTTTTATTAACCTACTTTTTTTTATTAACCTATTTTTTTCTGATAAAAAAGCGAGATTTGGTATCTTAGCAATCTTAGCATATTATATAAATTAGGACTGATTGACGTATTCAATTTTGATCACTTCCTGTTTCACCCGGAAATGACTACAACTTTTGATTATTAAATGGCACCCTCGGTATTTTTTTTACTTCATTCGATAGAAAATGACACACTGAATAGAATGGCATATTATATGTCAACTTTTGACATTTACTATTAAAAAAATCGTATTTTAAATTTTAATCTAGAGTCCCATGGCTGTGTTAAAATCACTAATATTTAATCAAGGATCCTTAGAAAAAGATTTAATTGTCTATTGTTTCTCGTGTGTTGTCCTGTCCTATTAAAAAATGCGTATTTTTATTCATATTCAAAGTTTTAAAATGAAACGAAGGTGGCTCATTAGCATACTTAGAAAACTTGAGAAATTAGAAAAAAAATTAGAAATTAGCATATTTAGATTTTTTTACGAATAATTTGGTACCACACATTTGGTATTTCGAGTCCAATTGTCAGATGATAAAAAAAACTTAAAAACTAAACAATTGATTTTTATTAACTTTTTTAACTGTTAAGCTATAGGTACATACACAAACAATTATATCCCTAGTACAATATTTAATTGTAATGACAGGTTACAGTCGCGGTTTCAATTTCGATTGGAGAATCGCAGTTTTGCTCATCTCTACTATTGTGGTCTTTTTTTCTCTTGATTACAATCGATCGACTTCAGTCGTATTCTTTTAACAAATTTTAATAATTTGGAGACTAGCTCTTCAATTTAAAGCATGTGCAATGAGTCAGGGAAGATTTCCGACTGACGACATCCAAAAAATGAGAGAAATATCTCTTTTTTGTGAATTCAAAAAATCGCTTCAATTAACCTAACTCTTACTGTCATGGTTTATTTCGTTAAGTAGGTTATAGGCATTTTGCCAATGCTTTATCATCCCCAGTTAGAATAAAAAAACATATTTCCCAGGCAATGCAGTATCTAGAATGTGTCCAGCCGTTTCTTTTTTTGATTGGCAGCAGTAGAGGTACATGGCCGATTCTGCATCAGGAGGAGGAGGTGGCGGAGATGTGGAGTGGCGTTATAAATCAGCTAAGAACATGTAAAATACGCTAATAAATATTAATAAATAGGTTTAAACAGAAATCAACCGCTTTTGAACTGCTTTGAATTGCTTTTTAGCTTAAAGCAACAGACCTGTTCATTTTTTGTTCAAACCCGTTTATCTGTCTTAAAGCGGTTGTTTCCTGTTTAAACCTATTTATTCTTGTTTATTAGCGTATTTTACATGTTCTTAGCTGATTTATGACGTCACTCCACATCCACCTCCTCCTCCTCCTGATGCAGAATCGGCCATCTCCCTCTACTGACAGAATCTGTACATGGGTTCGTCTATTATTAATATCATTGTCTTTAAATGCCTATTGAGCTTTAGTAGATCAGTAGCTTGCCCAGTAGATCTACTACAGTTTTATTTGTGTTTGCTTATCAGGTCTGATAAGTTAATTTTGTTGGGTCTTTTATTATGTTTTTCGCCTGTCTTTTTTTAGTTTAGTTTTGTTCTGATAAATTTTTATACTATTCTACTACTAGTACTACTACTGCCATTACTCGCTGACGCATCAGAGGATGGTTACGCGAGGCGTTTTCTCTCATGAGCTTCTCTGTGACTGAAAATCCCAATACCTGATCTTAGCTCTCTTCCGCACTACGGACATTCTAAAATCTCATTACTTTTTGGTTCTCGTTGTTAACTGAGTTTACAATAGTTCTCCATTGCGTTCTATTGTGCGCTGCTTCCTTCCACCGATTCTGCATGCTTATCCCCTTTAAGTTTTCATGGAAAATATTTTTGTATCTTTGCAGTTGTCCACCCGGTTTCCTCTTACCCTCTACAAGCTCATCCTGCATATACGATCAGCCCATCTTAAGCGGGATTTAGTAATCATGACTTCAGCGCTCTCGCAGCTAGCTTTTTCAAGGACTGATTTTGGGACATGGTGGTACCATTTGATTCTTAACAGTTGTCTAAGGTGTCTCTGTTGCAACTTGTTTAATGCGGTCGTGTGTCGGTGGTACGGCACCCAGAGATGGATCTCTGTAACGAAATAGCGATCGGTAGCGATGAAGAATACTGTCGCTGGCCATTTAGTTTGTACGGCCAAGGTCAGTATTCTTCATCGCTACCGATCGCTATTCAGTTACAGAGTTCCAGCCCAGGTTTCGCTTCCATATAACGTGGTGGGGATTGTTATTGCTCGGTACACTGCAATTTTCGTTTTTGTGCTCAAGTCGTAATTGTAGAAAACCCTGTCTTTTAATTTCCCAAGTGCTTTGAAGCGCTGCTAATATTATTCTAGAAATTTGTTAACATTCTCTATTTTTGTTAAAAGTTTTAAATAATATGACTTCAGAGAGATATGTTAAAATCTTTTTATGAGGGTTACAGAATAGAAGTATGGCTAATAACTTTTGCAAATGAAGTTATAGATAAAACAGTAGTTATTCGATGAAAATGTTTATCGACCGAGACCCATTTACCAAGCACAGTTCTTTTCTTTTAACATTCTCACTTAAGGTGAACGGTGAGTAGGAGAAGGCTGTGTAGTAGGAACACAAGTGTAAATGTCTTTATTTATTTTATAGTCCTTATTTTATGCATTTTTCTCAAGAAAAAATAAGAATCTCTAAAGCTCTATACATGCTTCTATTGACATAGAATTTGAGGTCATAGACGTATTTTTTATTTCATAAATTTGTACCTTATATTATAATTAGGTAAGTTTATAAAAACTTTTTTTGTAGATGGGAAAGGAGTGTGGGAATCTCCCTCATGCGAGAAGGCCTACCCACTAAAAACCCATCTGTGCTCTAAGCTCACCAATCTCGGTACCACCGGCACCGTAAGCATTTCATTGGAATTAGAGAGTTATCTAATCTTCTATATTGGTCTTGTCTGTACTCAAATCTTGGCTTTTTCATTCTACTCCTTTTTCTTCATAATGTCTCTTAGCAACCGCAAATCGCTTCGATATTTTCGTTCGATTTTGTCAGAAGGGTTTCGACGTTTTCTGTAGTGATCTTTGTACCACATACTGTTTCTATGTTTTGCCGTATGTCGTCGTGCGCGTGATACTCAGATGGTATATGGTTGGCCGAGTCTGACGCCTCGCATGTAGGAGAGTTTGCCTTGCGGATCCTGTACAGATACTCGCCTAAGACTCCATGGCCAGTCATAGCTTGCGTGATGTAGTAGTCCGTATTTGCTTGGTCACATTTTATCCAATGTTTGCTATTAGGTATGAAAGTCTTAGTCCACCTGCTATATGTTTCCCATCGTGTCTGCCATCGCTCTAGTACAATGCTCCTGGTCTTCTGGAAGGAGGTTCCGTTTTTATATGTTTGGTTTCTTTCCTCGATCACTAGGCTAATCGGAGGTATCTTAACAAGACACAGTATCGCTACTGTTGGACATGTGCAGTATGCCAAAGCAACCCTGAGTGCTAACTTCCTGTTTATCCTTTCTAGCATGTTCTCATAATGTTTGAAAAAGTTTTTAAGTTTTGAATTAATCGTAAAAGTTTTCATTTAATCGTCTAGGTATTTTAGTTCTAGATCCATCTTTGGTACTTATATACTTGGTACAAAGAAATTTAAACTATCTTTTGTTCAGAACATTGATAATTGTCGTATAGAAGATATTTAATTGTAAGAGTATTCTTTTCTACATAGGTATGTCAAATCCTATGCAGACAACTATTGAATGGTAATCAATCGTTGTTTTGGTTTTTCATCGAATTTTAGTATTTATTTTTGAAATAGATTTTCTTGATTAGTTAAGATCGGCAAAAAAAAGTTTTTTTTTAATTTCACTCAAAATGAATTATTTGGGTCATAAATGACCTAAATACAAAATATTTTCATAGTATCTGTCTGTCTGTCCGTCTGTCTGTAACACGATAACTCAAAAACCGCCGAACCGATTTTAACCAAATTTGGCAGAAAAATACTGTGGAAACCCGAGAATCTGGCCATTAGTTTTTGGTGGGGGTGGGGGGTTGGTAAGAGGGTATGGGAGGGGTTTAAAAATTTTAAAAAATCGTAACTCCAAAATTACAGTAGCTAGCGAAACGCGGTTTTCAATTTAAGATTAGGAATAATATTTACAACAAAATTTGTAGTAACATCAAAATCAGTCAAAGTCGCAGTTTTTGAGATAAAAAAAATTGGAAAAATTTCTTTACTTTGAAACTAAAAGAACTGCCTACCAACTTTTTATTAACATATTTTAGTATGGGCGGCTATACGTGCCTCCCGGCGGCATTTTTTTTTTCTTCTGGCGACGAGGGGACATAAATATCACCTGAGAAAATAAGCTGGTTAGGTAAATTTGTTTAAGACTTGAAAGCCAGTGAGAAGCGAATATTTTAAAAGTTTATTTGCACTAAAAATAAGATTTATTAAAAGATTCTCTATATAAGAAGTGCCTCTAGTTAAAATCTATTAAACAAATTCATAAGAGCAATTCACAAAACATACGGTAAATACAAGACCAAACCCAAAACCAAGGGAGTAGCTCAGACCGTCAAGTTCGAATCACCCTGTACACTTTTACCCTAATTTCCCCTACCCAGTGTATTCTAATATATCGTCGCTGGAAAACCGATCGCTTGAATTCCTTAAGAAATATTGTTTAATTGGCATAAATAGTTGAATTAATTATTAAGTCGCGATATTTTCTAGATGAATTGAATGAATGCGGTTGCGGACCGCGAATGCATCCGATCGCTGTGCTATTGCTCGCAGCCAGGCTCAGTCAGGGACTCGTTTCCCAGGCGGATTCCTTTTCGTATTGCACAACGGCTGAAAAATCAGCTGCATTTCCCCCGATATATGCACTTGCCTTTTCGAGTTATCGGCCGATTATTTTACAGATTAATTTCAGTTAATGTACTCGATTCAAAGTGTATATACAGGAAGCCTAATGCTGCGTTGTATTTTCTAAATATTTCTGATTGTTCGAAAAGTAAGTACATATAATTTCAGAAATCGTAAAAGATATTAGAATTATATGTCTATGTTCATCTAAAGTATGCAGCATTCGACGACCTGAACATAGAAAATATCGTGTAAAATGTAAATTGAAACATTGCAGAATAAAAAATGGTATGGCTAAAATTGTCCATCCAGTATCTATCATACCGTTCCTGTATGAGCAGTTCAATAAGTGCTATTTCAGAGATAACCCCTATAGCCTCTCCAGATACCGTTTTGTATGTGCTGCATACTCTAATAGCCATGATACGTTGTATTCTGCGTAGTCTTTGTGTAAGCTTTCGATTGTTTATAACTTTATGCCATACCGGTGCAGCATACAACAGCTACGAGTGTACAACACTAGCAAGCACTCTCCTTTTGGATGCTCTAGCTCCTGCCTCGTTTGGCATGAGTAAGGCCAAAGCGGTGACAGTTTTCTCAGCCTTGATGATCGTTTTATTAATATGCTCCGAAAAATTTAGTTTGGTATCTAACACTCCTAAGTATCTCAAAGAATTACTTGCACCGGCGATATTCTTCTTTTTTTGGTCAATAATACTGCTTCTGTTTTATGTGAAGCTACGGTGAGTCTATTATCCTCCATCCAATTTACAACTCGCTGAATTGCCAAGTTGAGTCGAGTTCATCAGTATAGCTCCATCGCTTACACATGCAACGATGGCAAGGTCGTCTGCGAAAGCGACTAGAGTTGTTCTATCGGGCATTTCTATCCTCAGTAGATCATCATAAAGTACGTTCCAGAGCGTAGCTCCCAAGACTGATCCCTGTGGTACACCGCTATTTACCATCACAGTTTTTTGTAATTCCTCGGCCTCAATTATAATTTTTCTCTCTGATAGGTACCATGCTATAATATCGATTAGACATTGATCTATTTTCCTCTTTCGTAGGTTATTCAATATAAATTGCCAGGAGGCGTTGTTAAAGGCATTTTTGACATCTAATGTGATCATTGCACAGAGTATATGATGCTACTTGTATATGCAGCAGCTTCTTCCGCTATGTATATTACTTTAAGGATAGCATCTACAGTCTGCTTTCCTTCACGAAAGCCATATTTCGTTTCTGAGAATCCCGAAATTCGTATGAAGGGCAACGGCCCAGCTACGTCGAACAACCAGTTCCCATTAGAACACCGACGTTAAGCGACGTAAGGCGATACTAGTGGATGGATGGGTGACCGGTTCGAAACTCTGTATCGTGCTGTTGTCCAAAAAAAAGGCAAAAGTGTAAAATCTATTGACACACACTGCTCATTCACGCCGGTTCGAGGCCGGATGAGATATGATATGATATCTCGTGAGTAAGAGTCGATTTAGACACTTGCCAAGTCGGTAGACTATTGATCATGATATGGCCGAAGACCGCGGTTCGGATTTCGCGTAAACAAAGTAGGCACCGTCCAGATTAGCCCTGGCAGCAAAAAGGAGACGTTAACTGAAATCTTTACTTTAATTTCTATGAGATGTTCATACAGTTTTCCTTCCAGGTCCAGGAAACTGAGTGGTCTAAAAGATGATGGTTCATTCAATAATTGGTTTCCCTTTTTCAGTAGTACTACTTTGCCTGTTTTCCATTCCGATGGGAATTGGCTTTTCCCGGCTAAAAAATTATACACGGACAAAACGTGTTCGGATGTGTTTAGAGCAGTAGCCTTTAGTACTTCTGATGGTATATTACTGGGACCAGGAGCTTTATTATTTTTTAGTTTGTTAGACACCACACATAAATCCTTAATTGTAAAATTCAAAACTTTATTAACTAAATTGTAAATATGACAGTCATATATCACAGGCGTGTGAGTGGGGAATAGATATTTGACCACTTTTTCCGTAAAGTCCATGAGAGCTTTTACTAGTAAATGTTAACATTCACTGATTGATAGATTTTACTGTAATATATCGATTACACCATTTATCGTAAACAATTTTTCACATTTTTCTTGTAACATGTACGGTTTTCATATTTTGTGTAAAATTATAAACTGAATAGATAATTATTCATGCGTCCTTAATAAAATAACGACATAAATTATTTTTTTACACGACGACTACAAGCACATATAATCCATCCTCCCCAAACATCTCGTCCCTCCGTGTTATTCCTCTCTTGGCCGTAATTAGCATAATAGGCCCTAATTCTCCTATTTATTAGCGAGACAGGCAGGGGGAGGAGTAATTCCCTAAGGCCCCATTCACACACCCCAGCAATAAAGAGTCGATAGTCGGCTTTATTACTTTCGAATTGGGCGACGAGATGTGACTGCTCTGCCAGAGCGTACGGCTGCGTGTGCAATTTTCGTATCGTATTTGGTTTAGGGGTTGATGCGGACACGATTCTGCAGCTAGTAGTTTAATTTGTTATGGTAATTGGTTGTTTTTTGATGGCTCTTACGGAGGGGGTAGTTTCAAAGAGATTTGTTTTAGATCTATCCGATTTTGAAATAAGTTGTAGCATTTTATTTTAAAGGCTACAGAAATTATTGAATGTAAAAGAATTTCGGACTTCCGTCTTTATTTATTTATATCAATTTTATTAACATTTGAAATAGTCACAGTTCGGATTCAGTCAGTTCGGATTCTTTTTCACTTATTTTTTACAACCTGAAACAGCGTTACATCACACAAACCTCGTACCTGAATGTTTTATAGTTTCAATAACTGCACTAGCAAAAAACTAAAGTACTTAAATATTATCACAAAGTCACGATTTCAATATTATTTTAATACGATCAACCCGAACTGTAACCGGGACGGCGCGGCGGCGGCGCGGCGTGAAATACATAGCGAAAATTTCTGCCGTATATAGTGCTGCGGTCGGAAAGGATATAGTCGGATTAATATAGGAAATCTACCCCCGCGGCTTTTTTGACTCGCACTCAGGGGATCGATTTGGTGTCGAATCAAAATGATTCACCTAAATTTTTAGCTCTTTTACTCAAACTGTTTTTGAAAAAAAAACTGTTTTTTCAATTTTATTTTTATTTTTATAGTAAAATTCAAAATTAATTAATGATGGTTTTTTTCTAATTCTTAGAAGTCTAAGTCATGAAAAACTAATAAGATGACGATTCTTAAATAAAAAGCCGATTTTTAGCGGAGGAAAGAAAATTAAAATCTTTTATACCTCGTTACACTCAGGAATTTTTTAGAATTTTTTGAAGTGGTGGAACAATACAAAAAAATTAAAAACTAATTTTTTTTGTAAAATCTTCTGTTTTAACTAACTTATATTTTTATTTAGTTTAAGGCCGCCTCAGACACGCATGCTTTTCGTCCGTTTTGCTTGCACAGTCATAAATTGCAATGCAACACTGAACGCTGGCAATCCTTCATACACTCCGTCTTACACTCCGTCTTAACGTGCAGTTTTCTCTTCAGTCGTCAGTCTTCAGCTTTCAGAATAAACATGGACCGTCAAAAATTAGCTGTTTGTGCAACAGCAGTCTTGATCATAAAAAAGAAAAAAAAGGA